CATCCATCGTCAACAGATACGAAGAGTCATGTGGTCGAATTTCTTCTTTCCAGCGGTTTAAAGTTTCATTATCTTGTTAAGAATATACATGCAGAGTATATGTTAATTTTATGGAGTAAATAAATGATAAAATTCGTTATTATTTACCTAATTCATCAAATTCTGGTAAACAAATTGACCTTTTATCTTCTTTCTCATTTATTTTCCCATTTAAGCGCACTATTCTTTGTAATTTATTACCAATTATTATTTTAATGGCGAATAAATGTCCAAACTTATTAAAAACGTGGTATAAATATTCAATTGGCGTATTTGACTTCAAAGCTATTTCAACAGCAAGTTTTAATTCAGCAGTGCTTTTAATATTTTGAATATTGTATTCAATCGAAATTTGCTCACTTGCAATCTCACAATAAATATCATGTGTTTCTAGATCATTTACAAATGAATTTCCTGAATGTTTTCTGGGATTCATATTGAATAGCATGAAAAAATCCTTTAAATCTTCGGATGAGCTTGCATCAATTTCTATTCCCTCAGAAAGCATAAAAGAATCGCATATTTTTGACGTGTATGAAATCTTCATATTTTGTGATTGCTTGTATGCACTCATCGGCTTTTGTGAATATTTATAATTTATCACAGGATCAATTGATTGTTTGACTGAATATTTATCAATGATTATGCCATTAATCAATTTGAATTTTTCTTGCCACGTTTCGACTTCGAGATTTTGCAAGTGTCTATAAGGCTTTGTAAAAGCTAAATCAAGTTTATTTTCTTCTGGTAAAGATGAAGGTTGTTTTAATAGCGTTTGATTTTTTTGTGATGCTTCGTCAATAATGAAAGTTTTTTTGATGTCGTTGTCGTTATTGTCATTGACGAGCGGTAGTTTTAGACCAGATGTTTTAATTGGTTTATTTTGAATCGGGTCTTCGTGAATTTGTAGCTTTTCTTGTTCATTCTTTTCGATTTCATATGATTTGTTATTTGATGTTTGATGACTAGCGCTGTCCGACGTTTGACGACCATTAAAGATGTAATCATATAAATCTTGCACCACAAAAGAAAAGTACATGTAGTAATGAATTAAAGAAATTAATGAAAAAATTAATATTATATAATGATTTTACCTCCATATACTTCATTTATTTCAGTTAAATACAAATTACTGATTCTTGAAGATTCGGCATCAATATCCATATCATCATTAGTCGCATATGCTAGAATTGTATGTGAACAAGTATTTTTTAATGTATAACAAAAATTATCACTTGCATGAAGTATCATAAAATATGAAATATTTTACCTTGACTATCTTGTTCGATAATAAGTGAAATCTTTCCTCGTTTATTTGATTCTTCCGACACGTTTTCAATAGGATGTTTGCTGGTCGTTTTATTCTCTTTTAAATGTTTGTCAAAAAAAATAGTATACAATATTTTAAAACGTTGAGACTCCATCATCGTCGTCGTTTTTAACGAAAAAATTTACTTTGTGTTTGGATATTCTTTCGGGCATCTTTTCCATATGTCTCACGGGAGTTTGATGTAGAGAATGATAACTCATATATATCATATTCAGTAGTCACGTATTCTAGAGTTATATGCAAACAAATATGTTTAATATATTTTTAATAAAAATAATACAACAAGTAATTTTACCTTCGTTTGGAACAAACAAACTGACACTTGACATTCCTAGACATTTGATGTGAATTTTAATTACTGTGAAATGCTAATATGATTTTTATTTCAAAATAGAAGTACCTGTCTCAGTTGGAATTGATATTGATTTTGTGGTAAATATTCGACTGATGTAAACTGCGTTTGAGTGGATTTGTTGTCTTTTGCTCGTATTCGTAGGAATGCTTTTTTGCAATTTCATCTTATCAAGTTCATCCAAGTTCTTCTGTTCTAGTTTAAGACACTCAATAATTTGATCCCATTCTAAATTGTAGTACTGAAAATGCAAAGTGTTCAGTTTCCAATTCTTAATAAAATAGTCGGTACGGTAAATAGACCAGATAAATTTTTCAAGATGCCAAGTAGTTGGTCTGTTTTCTGGAATAGGATCCCAACATTTTTCAATAATAAATTTGCACCATCCGGGAACATTATTTGGTATCTTAGGTCGTACCCCATTATAGATGTCGTATACAAGGTGCATATCATGACTTCGTTCACCAAATGGTCGTTCCTCTGTGGCAACCTCGTACGTAATCATCCCAAAACTATAAATATCCGCAGCTTTACTGTATGACTTTCCATTTAGTACCTCTGGGCTCATATAAGGAAGAACTCCGCAAATTTCTTGATTAGATTTTTCTATATCTGCTGGTCTAGCAAGTCCAAAACCAGCAATTAGAGCATTACTATTCGACATTAATATACTTCCGGGATGAAGATCACGATGCACAAATTCCTCTTCGTGAATTGTACGCAGCCCATTGATAATATCAAATAAACATTTTAATTTTTTTTCCCATGTCAATTCTCCATACATGTAGTTGCGCAAATTGCCATCTTTTGCATATGTCATTACTATCGAGTATTCATTTGTAGCTGGGTTTTTAGTTATTCCATAATATTTTATTTCGTCAAAAGAGCACTTTAGAGCAGTCTGAATCTAATTTGAAAAAGTTAATAATTATATTGAAATACAAAAAAGCAATATGCTTGTACTTCATTTTACCTCGTTTATAAACTCGGATGTAATTTGCTTTGAATTATTATGTGATGATTTCAACACAACTTCAGTTTCTCCCTCTCGTTCAAATTTATTCTTTACATGATCCCATTTGTTACCCAATGGTCCGTCCAACCAGGTTGCTTTATAAATCGATCCAATTCCTCCTTGTGCAAGATATTCAACATCGGTAAATCTTTCAAAAGGGATCCATTCGAAATAACTGCGATTTTTACCAGCAATTCTGTTGCATTCATTTATTAGACTGTCGATATCTTTATTTCCACTAAACCATTCAACATAAATTCGTTTGTGATATAGAAAACATCCATCACAGCCCTCATCGTATTGACAATAGGTACATTTACTACAGTCATGAATATTGTGAACTGAACACACATCGCAATACTCATATTCTTGACAACGCCAGCACTCACTACAATGAGTATTCGAAATTTTATCCATTTTCTGAGTTTATTTTATTAGCGATAATGGTAAAACAAGATACGAACATATTGTGAAACTCTATTTATGTGTTTAGTTGACTACACACGCGCATTATTACAGGTTTTGGCTAGATCGTTATGTACATGTATTGGCTACACAAAGTTTTGTATGCCGGGCTGGATCTGAATTAAAATACCGGCAATTTTCTGAATACATGTACATGTTGATTGCATATACGTATATAAACTATACCGATACATACTAAAGTAAATCTTTTTAGTTTTATAGATTGGATTGGTTATCGTTATTGTCTCATTAAATAATCAAACCAGTACAAATTTCTGAGAAACCATGAGTCTATCAACCATATTAAGCCCTGGCTTACATCTACATGACATGTACTGGTCGAAAAATATTATTTTTACCTGGTTAATATCAAGGTTAAATAATAATGGAAAATGCAACTTTGTCATTTACGTACTACCTTTATTTTGCCTTGATATTGCCCAGGCAAATCCAATCTTTTCGGTTAGTGATGGTAGTTTGAAACATGAGAACCGGATACAGTTACCCGAAAATACAGTGACTCACTAAAGAAACGGAACGCGGAAAAAAATGGCAAGATTCGAATATCTCGCTATTGTGTAATTATCGAAGACTAAGCTAAGTAGATTTTATTCATTAAAATCATCACAATCATTTAATGCAAATTTTATTTTCATCTAACTTTTACTTCACAAGCTAATATGACCGATTTGGACAAGAAAGTTCAGGCCTATAAAGATAAGTATGAAAGCACTCTTTTTCCACTACAATATCTATAGAACACTTTTCGATATTACAAACAATAATACTAACCATTTTGTATTGCAAAATGACTCGCATTACTAGAAAAATGCTCCCGGATATACACTCTCCGACAAGAATGATATTCGGTCCGGGAAATCGCATTATCGGAACGGGTGGTCCAACGCATCTGCAAAAACAGAAAAAACCGGAAACTTTGAAGATAAACCAAAACCCGGAATGCCATCCGATTAATATCATCTGGAAAATGCACTACCGCCGTCCAAGTTCAACACAAGCTCCAAACTGAACTGTGAGTCGAAATTTCAGTGGAAAGATACGACGTATGTTTAGAAGAAATGGCTTGTTCGCAAGGATTAAGCGTAAAAAAACCATTACTTAAAAAAATACAATTCCGATTAGATTAGAATGGACAAAAAAACGCCGAAATTGGACGGCCGATGACTGGTGGAAAATAATTCGATCGAAGAAAACAAGTTCTAATTATTTGGGTCGGATGTAAAATTTGGTGGCGGTTCTGTTGTGGTTTGGGTTGCCTAACTGCCAACGGAGTTGGTGAACTCCGAAAAAATGGACGCTGATGTCTACGTCGATATATTAAATACTAATTTTTTAGGACAATTTATGAGAAAATGCTGGAAGATAGTGAATTCATATTTCAGCAAGACAACGACCCTAAACATGCCTACAAAAAAGCCAAGCGATGGTTCGAGGATAACGACATTACTTTGCTTGATTGGTCCGCCCAGTCCCCGATTTAAATCCAATCGAGAATTTATGGAACGAAGTCGGTACACGCTTGCGGAATCTTCCTGGCCACTTTTAAATAAAACGATTTGTGGGAAAAGCTACAAATTGACTTTTGATCAATTCGATGCCGGATCAATGGCAAGGGTGGATATATAGAACGGTGTCTTAGTTTAGAAATGTGTAATATGGTTTTTTTAACAATAGCTGATATTTTCTTAAGGAAAAATTTGCCTTTAACGTTAAATATTACCTACAGTAGATGAAAATAAAAATTTGATTAAGTGGTTGTTATTATTTAAATGAATAAAATCCACTTTCTTTTGGTCTCCGATAATTCTTCAATGGCGAGATATTCGAATCTCGCCATTTATTTTTCCGTAATACATCAGGGTTGATCAACCGGTATGCTAATCCGGTTTATATATGCTATATAGTTTAATAAATTTGCTATTAACGTTAACGTTAATGTTAAATTCATATTTTGCTTATCGTTATAACAAAATTGTTATGGTCCATACTAAAGTCATCAAACATTTGTATTTTATAAAATGTATAAACTTTTCAGCTAAGAATTAAATACAAAATTTAATCCGTGAATATGATGGGATAGTCCCTTTCTGAGCATATTCACGAATTAAATTTTGTATTTGCTTCTTAATTGAGAAGTTTATACATTTTATAAAATGCAAAAATTTGATGACTTTAGATTTTATGCACCATATCAAGTTATCTGCTCCAGTGTTCTTGATTAACCGACACAAGAAATGAGAAAAGTGAAAAATACAAGCCTAGATCTATTTTAAAGCAATAATTAAAAATGTCGGGAAGAAATTTTTACATATAACGATAATCTTCAACTTTAACCTTAGCCCCGCAGAATACGTACTGTTACAGGTTAGTGGCCGATTATAGAAATTAGCGGCTAATCTGTAACAGTACACGATTACAGCAAAATTTAACCTGATACCCGAATTGATATCCGGGTAACACGGTTCCGATCCCTATAACTAGTATTTTTAGTCTTCAATGGCAAATTCTTTTTCTTGAAATAAGATATTTCCATATTATTCTAAACACTTAGTCTCAGTCATATTGTATTCTAATTTGTTCTATGAGTTATTTATTAGTTTTTTAAGATACCGATACAAATCGTTTTTTAAACCGGATTCCGGTTCTTAGTAGATATGTACACAATTTTTCTGGTGAAACGTTACTGAACATGCACTTTGTACATGTACGTACATGTATTTCGTGTTTTCCAGTAATGTAATGTAGTACATGTACCCCATTTGTTACAAGATGAACATGTACCGGTACGTATCTACATCTTCCCATGCACTTTTTTTGAAGCAAGCAAAATGGTAGAACCAAAACTCGAATACATGTACATTAATACTCAAATAAATAGCGACACACCTATCCTTACACAACTTCCCATAAATAAAAAACTGAATGAAATCCGTCGCTTACTTGCCGTTGAACCAAAGATTCGAATGGGTCCAAAAATGGAGTTCCTGAGCCCATTTGCCAGAATTCCGCAAAATTACGAATGTGATTTTCCCTTAACAGAAATTCTTCATTCCAATAATAATTTGAAAATCATTGGTGAGAATGAACCAGACTGGGAATATATAAAGAACATATGTAAACTGGAATATGGAGTTGACTTTTCGGAAAAAGGTCCAGAGAGCGCAAAGAAAAAAGCATTCGATATTACGAGACTTGAAGCGGAAATTTTAGAAATTACAGATGCAATTGATGAAACGGTCGTGTGCCAAACAGAACTTGACAAAATTTGTGAGCAAAATTTTTTAGTGAAGTCTGAAGTTACTGTTAATTTGTCGTGGTGAGTTTATATAAGAAATTTATTTTATGTATACGTATTTGTGTGTTATGCTAATTGACTTTAACTCAGGTTATCGATTTCGTCAACCTTTGGTAGATCTGGAGAGATCGAAAATCACAAAAACATTGAAAATTCAATTACTTGTCAGACTTCAAAAATAATAAAAGCTACAATATCATATTCTGAATCTAACGTAACGCCAACAACAGAATTCATAAAGGATGTTAACGACGCGTTCGCATCAGATGATCCACGTAAAACCCTTGAAAAAGTTGCTAAAGAATACGGTCCATTATGGTGCAAAAGGCTCGGAATTGGTGGAAGGATTTTATATAAAAAAATCAAAGAAAATAATCTAAATGAGTATAATAACTCAAGAGAAATAAAAACTTCCGTGAAAGCTAAAGTAACTGAATATGCTGCGATTGATGGGGAAGCAGGAAGAAGCCAGCAAACGAAACAAATGGATTCAGTTATCAACGAATTTTCTTCTTGTCGAATATTCGGTGGCTCAGAAGAATGTCATCGTGAATCTAAAAAGGGTTAGTAGAAAATATAAAGTTATGTAACTTTTTATTTTTATTTTTTTAAATTCTAAATCTTTTTTTAGAATGGATAAATTCATTAAACGACTATCGTAAATGGAAAGTAGCGGAATATGCCGAAATAAATTCAATTTTTGATATTCTGGATCAAAAAACAAGATCAAAAGTTGCAGCAATATTAACAAAACGAATCGTAGAATCAAAAGTCGAAACATTATCTTTTCGAATGGACCTTTCTCGAACAGATCCATACATATATAGACTACCTTCAAATCTACAACTTTC